AGGTGACTTCATTTGTTGGAATTTGATCGCGCTCCATAGTTTTTAGGAGCTCCAGACCTAGAAGCAGGTTCTCGTCTCCCTTCATTCTAACCCGCCCGTCAATGATTGCAGTGTAAGTCGCGGTATTTGGCTTGACCCCCATCTCCTCCATTATTCCCAGCAATCGTGCGATCGCATCCGAGCGTCCTAACTCAACAAATTTGTTGAGGATAGTACTAAAGGTGTAGATGTCAGGTTTGAGGCCTTCGGATTTGAGCTCTCGCAGCACCCTAGAGAACCCCTCCGAGTCGCCTTTCCTTCCAAAGTGTCGTAGAAGGCTGTTGTAGGTGATCGTATCCGGTCGAGGGCCTTCTACACGCATCCTCTCACAAAGAGCCTCCGCTTCCGCCACTTTCCCATTGATGAGAAGGCCATGGACAACGGCGTTGTAGGTAGCGACCGTGATCCTCCCACTCCGTACATCCTCCCCATCCTCCTTCCTGCCAAACTTAACCGACGCCTCTTCGAACAACTGGAGCGCCATTTCCGGCTCCCAGCCTTGGAACAAAGCTGCGATCATGCTCGTGTATGCGAACACGTCCGGAGACTCCATCCGTCCCCAGATAGCCTTAGTCACCTCCAGGTCGCCCTTCTTCCCATATCCATCCAACAGCTTGTTCAACACAACAGGTGGGTGGCTCAAACCGAGCGCCGTCATGTCGCTCATGACGCATTGCGCTAGGTCAAGGCGGTGATTCTGGACCAAGTGCGAAACGAACAGGCTCCATATGGAATCACCCAAGAACACGAGCGGTGGATGAGACGCAGATGTCGGACCGACTCTATTAGAATAAGAGCACCATGGAGTATCTCCCTTGCATCCCTCGAGAAGCGCACGGTAGAGGCCCCAGAAGACAACTGGCCCATTCCTCTCGACGAAGCGTGGCCAGTTGGGATGGGTAGGACCGCCCCTAACTAAAACAGCGAACTCAACGAGGCGAAGGAAGTTGGCGATGTCCTCGAAAGGAAAAGATTGTGGAACCCCGTAGGATGTTAGCGTTTTCTGAAGGTCCTCAGCTGAGGGAGAGTTGCAGTAATTAACCTCGATACCGAAGGCGACGGCTTTGCGATAATCCTGCCCCAGAGCAAAGGCTGCTAGCACGGTCGTCCCAACTCGACGTCGCTTGGATGGATCCTCGATGAGCGATTGTGGCGTTGAGTAGAAGCTAGATCTCGATTGCTCGGGCTCTGTGGATGTACTGGGAACCGGGCGCTCTTGCGAGTTCGCTTCCGCCTTGAGACGCTTCCATAGTTCATCAACCGCCAATAAGTCTCCATGTGCTAATGCACCCCCTATACAACCCAACAATGCATCTACCATCCCTCGGTGTGCAAGGTACGTCGCCATCTGTCCTAAGTCCTTAAGCGCGTTTGCTTGGGCCGTCCCCGCAGAGTGCGAAGAGCTCAAGGGTAATAAGACCGTGAGCGTTTTGGACAAGAACGTTGACAAGGCCGATAAATCGCTGTTTGAAAGCTCATGTAGTTGGTAACTGGCCCGTAGTATCTCATATTGTCGGTGAACTTGGATCAAACTGCCTGCGGAGATTGCGTCGCGGAGACCCTTTCCGTGCGGACTTGCGTCTATCTGGGGACGCTCTGTAGGTTGCTGCGAGTCCCATCGTCTCGACTTTGTTTGCGTATTTGAAGCTGAAGGCGTGGATCGATTAAGTTCCCTTGGATCTCGCACCCTAGGTCCTGGTCCCGACTTCCCCTTCGACACGAATCGAGTCGATGTTGAATGGTGCAATATCAAAGGCAGTTGGCCGGACTTTGGTGACGAATGTAGCAGCAACGAGGGTAGCTGACCATTAAATCTTTTCGATGAAGTTAATAAAGCACGCGGAGCAATGGAAAGAGATGGACTTACAATCGCATCATGTTGACAACGACGTCCGGAGACGAGGTTCAAGGAATGGCTGGATGATTTTGAGCGTGACCCATCGGCGTTTACGGCTATAAGGGACAATGCCTCAACCTGCCATCAACACCACGGCACCCCAAGATCTCCAAAGGTGGTTAGCACCGTATCACCATGGTTCCTCCATGATATTACCAGAAAGCTGAATCCTTATGTTTTAGTCATCAACTTCTCAGAAAATGAAGCCGCCAGCGCCCGAAGCCATTGAGAACGCGTTGGCCCACCTTATCGATAGCATCATCCTCGAGAATGGCACAAACCACTATTTGTAAGTAGGTATGCGCCCTGCTACACGATATTTCTACTAAAAATAGCTAGTAGGGATTCCGAATGCCGTGAGGCGGTTCGAGTCGACAATATAATCGAGGCATTCCAAGTCACGATGAACGCCCTGCAAAAGAAAGTGGACCACATAGTGTCTCATTACAAAAGCCATCGGAACAATGTCGTTCCGTTCATTTCACGACTTCCCAACGAGATACTTGGCCGGATTTTCTCGCTTGCCGTCCCGCCGAGGTTGTGGAGCGTGAAGAAACTTCATCAGCTGGCGCTGGTGTGCAAAAGTTGGTTCCGCACAGTCAAATCAACCCCTGACCTTTGGGCACTCGTTCTGCATGACATGATGATGCTGAATCCGACGCTCGAACACGTCGCAATTGCCCTCCGGCTCTCCAAAAGCGCTCCTCTCACGCTCCTCTTCCGGAATGAGCAAAAGTCGCAGAATCCTTCCTCCAGGCTGGTTACCCAAGATGTCGGCCTCACGTCGCACAAATTGACCCTCGCGGCTGATCACGTAAATCGCTGGCGCTCCTTCACATTCCATGGTCGCTCCACACAGTCTGTCCTCCATGCATTAGAACACCCAGAACTTACACTGGAGACGTTGGAGATAGCATGGCCAGCCGAATACGATTCTCTGTTTCCCTCGTTCTCCCTTGCCTATGGCGACCGACTACGTCACTTGTCACTAAGCAATGTTACTGCGCGATGCAGCTCCTTCCAAGGCCTTGTAACCCTTCGTCTCAACAACACAAGCTCTATTCATCAGATCGCGTGGTTACCACCATTCTCACAAGTCGTCGAGACTCTAGAGGCATCACCACACCTAGAGGTTTTGACGCTTCAGCAAACCCTTGACCCGCTTTCTGGCGAAGACCCGTTTGAAATACTGTTTGACCAGGAAACTGGAAGTCCAAAACCACCATCTAGCCGAGCGATCCATCTTCCCCGACTCCAATGCTTGGTCCTTCGCAACCTCCCCTACATCGCGACCCATTATCTACTTCAATATATCCACTCTGATGCGTTGACTCGAGTCCGCATTAGAGCTAGAAATACGGAATCGCCATTCTACTTAGCCCAATCCTTCGGCTTCTGGACGGATGATAATCCACACACTGCGGCCAATGCACTCGACAGACTTCCGAAGCATCACAAACTTGGTATCTGGCACAACGGGAATTCCGTCTTTGCATGGGCTACTCCCGGAAGCGAGAAGTCCATCATGGACGTAACACAAGACGACATAGAGCATTCTAGGACACCGTATTTTGAAGTGCGGTTCACTGACTCTGGCGATGAAGTTGAAGGTGAAGGACCGATGAAGGATATTGCGGATGTATGCAATCTTTCGGCGATCACTGTGCGACCTGTTACGCTGTATTTCTCACCTCAAGCTGCGAATACCCCGCCTACAGACGTGCTGGCCGCGGTCCAATCAATGCCACTCACACTCAAACTCCTGAACCTATGGAACTTACCGTGGGAGACGTGCGTCACAGTTCTCCAACACCTTTCCCGACCACTAACCACAAGGAACAAAGGTGATCTGCAATGGCCTTATCCCCGACTGAAACAAATCCATCTTCCACCTTCGTTGGTGCCATCCGCTGTCGCAGCAGTGATCAACCACCGATGGGCTCAAACTCGACCTGAGGCGACAGGGGGTTCGCGCGTCTTCTTCGGCGATGGTGACGCAGATCGGCCCATCAGTATTGTCATCATTCTCAACAACCATCAAACGGCCACCGATCTGAACGCGTGCATATGCCGGGAGGTCGCTGGTGGCAGGAGTTACATCGAGCCAAGTCCTCGCGGTCATGTCAGCTCTTGGAATATACGATTTGAGCTACCAGTACTCGATAGCCGGCTGAAAAAGAAAATGAGCCAGGCGTTTTAATGGTAAGTCGAGGAGGCTTCGTACCTATCACTCGATTCAATTGATGCCTAGCTTGACTATGTAGTTCGCGCAGGTTTCCTCACTTGCCGCCTAACTCGTTCATGAGACCTTTAACATGATTTTTGATGTTTTTTTTATGCATGTTAGTTTGTGTTCGTTTGGCTTCCAGTCGTTTGTTCTCACGTTAACCTTGATCTAATACTATGTATTAGCCACATATCACTCAGGGTGGCATCTTGGCGGAGTGGTTAACGCGAGAGATTAGAATTAAACATCTCTTCCGATTTTCGGGCGCATGTTCGAATCATGCAGATGTCGGTTCTTTTTGGGTCGCTGAAGTCATACAATTAATATAAACGAGTTCACCTAACCCGGCATACAAGATTCATGGCAATTTCATATACAGACCCGCCCAGGGAGGTATGACATGTAATTATGTAATACAAGTCATTTTATTAAAAACCGAAAGAGAAATAGGCGAAACGCCGCTTGTAAATTTGCAATCATCGATCGACCGATCGCTCAAATCATGTCTGATAAGGCTCATATTTTGTATCCCTTTAGCTACGGTATAGATATACACATATATGGAATATCAGCCTTATCGGCCACGCCCTTGGGGATCGATGGGCAGAACATTCGTAAATACCTAACTCCACCGGTAAGGGTGCCCATTCGCATTCGCGGATGTGAATCCGCGAAATGCTCAGTCTTCGGATGTGGATACTGGCCCTGAACACCTAATTATCCGCGCATAAAACATCCATGAGCACGGATGTGTACTTGCGTTGAACTTTGCGAGTTCGGTCTAACCGAAACCCTCTGAATACGTGTTTCTCAGCTACCCCTACAGCCAAAAGGATTCGACATCTGCATGATTCGAACATGCGCCCGAAAATCGGAAGAGATATTTAATTCTAATCTCTCGCGTTAACCACTCCGCCAAGATGCCATATGATTTGGCTCATCATGTATTCATTATCAGATATATTAGTTATTTAAAACCCAATTGAAGTTGCAGAATTATATTCAACTCAAGTACCCAGCATATTCTCCCACTTCTCTCCTCCCACCTCCGATAGCGCCCTGACGACCTCACCATTCTCCATATTCATCATCACTAGCCGATCGTAGACGCTCTTTCTATCTGCTGCAGCACCAGTCTCGACGATGACAGCCTTCGACGCAACGAGGTTGATCAGAACGAACCGGAGCTGGTGGTGACTAGGTCTTGTCATCCCGCCATCGTCTCGTAACTGTTCGAACAGGATGAGACACTGTTGGGTGATCTGTCAAGAACAATTAGGTGGAATGGTCTACTATGAGATGAACCGGTTGACAAACTCACATCGCCCCATTTGACTTCATTCACACCTTCTCGCTTGACACATTTCATCAGTGCGGCAAGTATGATCCGTTCGACGAAGCTGCAATCCTTAAGATAAGCTGAAGTTGGGCTATTTTGCATTGCCTTGATGACCGCCGTTATCTCTGGCATCTTCACGACCCTGGAGGTCTTGCCGACAGGATCGTGAACGGTCTCAACGGCGCGTCTGCAGGAAGTTGGTGTTTAGTTACGAGCACCCAGGACTGGTTTGTTTGGGCTATAATGGGCCTCACCTAGCAATGTCAAGCACCCTTCTGGCGTCCCCATTGACGGCCGCCACTCTGGCTGAAGCGAACCTAACGGCGTCCTCATGAATGACGTTGTGATCCATCTGTAGGCCTTGCCTTGACGCTTCCAAGCGGGAGTTGACAATCTCCACCAGCTGATCGCGCTCATATGGATGGAACTGAATCTTCTCCATGCCTGTTACGTTGGAATAATCTAGCGGTTCAATTCGATGCTCTGGCTGTTGAGACACACTTACCGAGGCGACTCTTGACCTTAGCACTCATAACCCGTTCAGGGAGATCATGTGTATTTGAGACGGCTATGACGACAAGTTTCGAGTTTGGAAGGTTAGGCCAGTTAAAGAAGTTATAGACAACGTCTTGTTTCGCCGTGACCAACTGATCGAGCTCGTCCATCAATACGACGCTAACAAAACCCCATTGTCAGGGGAGATGCTTAACGAGGAGCTGCTTCCTAATGTACTCACTAGGCTCCTCCGCTTGGACCAGCTTGGCCCCCGCTGAAGTAACGATCGAGGCGCTTCAGCGACTCCTTAGCACTAATCTTGAGATGACCTTCCTTCGCCGCGTCGTGGCCAGACACAGCTTCCCATAGCACGGCATATGCTGCTGAAGGTTCAGGCAGACGAAGTCCGTTAATTTCCACGTATGTGAAGGGGTTCGTTTCCTATAGAGGACTCGATACATGAGTGGAGGCGAGATGAGAGCGATGCTCAGACTTCCTCACATTATTTCTCGCCATCTTCTGAAGTTCGCGTACAACAGCATGGACCGTCGCAGTCTTCCCAGTACCAGGCACCCCAGAAATATCTACACAAAGGGAAGGTTTCAGGATCACAGACAATTATTCAGTAAAACCTCTGAAGATACTCACAAATACACCCGCCACTGCCTTCCTCTAAAACACTCAAAACCGATCCAAGCACGTCATTGAACTCCTGATCTCTCCCCGGTAATGCATCCGGCCTCGCAGCAACATGAAGCAGATGCATCGCGCGAAGGTGTGCGTCTCTGGGGAGCTTCATAAGCGCAGTGTGGTCGGCCCCAGTAGTCTCATATGTCGAACGCTTTGCAATCAGGAGCTTCCCTCGTTTCTTGGATTTGGAGACGCGTTTGCGCGCTGCGAGTGCGGCTTTAGAGCTTGGTGTCGCGACAGCTCGCGTACGCCGTCGCTTTGGGGTGGTTGGTACAGCTTTGACGCTTCCCCGTTTCCGTTTTCGTGATGGTGTTGTCGGCTCGTCGAATAAGTCATCGTCAGCCTCAGGGTCTTCTGGACCATCTGAGCTGACTATTGATCCGTCGTCACTAGGTTCATCATCGGTATCTTCTTGACTGAGCGCTGCAGCGTCGTAAACGTCTTCATCGTCGTCTCCACTCTCTTCCAATCCATCTTCCTCTTCGTCACTAGCGTCTGTGGTACGTGACCCTTTTGTCGAAGTCTTCGTCCTCGATGAGGTAGCTACAGCGGTCTCGTCCCCCTCATCCTCAGCTGCCAATGCCTCGGCCTTCGTGATCAACTTGGACATTTCCTTCCGCGCAGCAGCGTCTTGCTTCCCTTGCTTCCCTTTCCCAATCTCCTTCTTCAAGGTTCCAATATTGAGACTCCAAGCGTCCAATGCATAGTCTGGGGCCTGAAGCGCCGCTCGCGAGGCGGCCCTTCGATGCTTCTCCCAGTCGAATTCGAAATGAAGCCCATTTTTGAAGGCGGTATCGCACAAGAAGAATTCCGGAACGGTCTTGCGCCAACCTATTGCGCCAGGTAAATCGTCCTCTGGGGGAGCGTAGTTAACAGGGGATGTGATCGTGCATTTGGACTGGATGGAAGGAAGGGCGATGACTGCGGTCTGGTCGATAGTATAGTATATTTCACCCTAACAACCATAATTCAGCCACAATGAGAGCTTAGCACGAAGCCAATGGAGCACGTACTTTGCGATGGGCTCGAGCAGCCCCTGTCTTGGGCAGTTGGTCTGACCTCAAAAACCAATATACCCGAGCCATCATGGTCACCGTGTCCTCCTGGCTCTCATCTAACTCCGCCACCTCCCATAGCGCCATGATAACGCCCACATGAGTTCCGCGAAGGGAGGCCTTGACAAGTACCGTGTCCCCGACGCGGAACTCCTCGTCCTCGTTGTCGACGTGAGCTTTAGATTTTATCGGAGACGATGCGACGCGTCGTGTGAAGGCAGGATAAAAACGCGTCTCTCTCTGTTGGTCGTCTTCTTCAAGGTCATCACCATCGAGCCAGTCGCCTTTGGTTCGCGTTTGACGCGTGTATGTGGGTTCGCCGACCCAAGATTCCGTGATGGAGGATGAGGAGGGACTGGTAGGTTTAGAAGGGGAGGGTACGAACAGCTGTGATCGACGGGACCGGCGGAGTGGTGTTGATGTGGTCATTATATGATTTTGATTGTCTATATAAGGTCTTAGATTGGTGAATAGCTGACGGTATTGGATGACAAGATGGGAATGTGGTCAAGAGTAAGATGGTGGGTGGTGTTCTATTTGCATTCGTGGCACGCAAAGCACAAAGCATAGAAACTTCAAGCCGATGGATCAGAAAGGGGATTACATACATGAAGGTAGTGAAAGAAGTTATTGTTACTTCAATCCGCCAACCGGAGATCGTGTTGCATATCTGACATTAGGGAATTGAATTTAAGATGCGAGCTCGGTTCACTTCAACAGAGGTCCCAGCCTTCAACCGCCAAGTAATTATCCACCTGGAGCCCTCTTTGACAGCGAAAGTGCTAGGGCAGATTGCCTGGAATATAACCGAAGCGCCCGTACCAGTCTGGGCCTGTTGAAAGGCTCGGGATGAGTCAGTCGCACGAGTGTCCAAGACGAACAACTGCATGGCCTCAGCTATGGCTGGAACCCCGTGCGAACCCAAAAGTACCTGAGAGTAAGCCATGAGAGAAATCTCGCCGGTATCGACGAGTTCACTATAGCGAAAGAATACTTCTCTTGGAGTCTCGTCCACACTACGGTCCCACACCACAACATGTCCTTCAAAGTTCCTCACTTTGAAAGGAGAGTCGGCTCGCCAGATGCTGAAAGGATCAAAACGTTCCAGTGGTCCTTCGAGCATGTGGAACACGCGCCCAGGATGAATCGTTTTCGCGTATCCAAGTGCGTCCATCGGTTCGTATGGGAGTGAAGGCAGGACCGCGCTCTTTGAGAGTAATAGTGCTTGGTTGTTCGACGGCGCCGCTGTCACAGGGAGATCGCCTATTCGGGGCAGATCCATTCGAGCGAGCTTTTCTACTAAATAGGTTACTACAGATGACGATGACAAGAAGGATTGGGTTTGAGACATCGCTAGGTTATAAGGCGACGTACCGGATAAGTCGTGTCATAACTAAGAGTTAGGTATATGTTTTCTTTAGAAGGTAGATTCTCAGTGATGAACGAATAATGGAGCGTAGACCACCAAAAAAAAAATATCGCCACCATGGGCGGGCAAAATCCTTTGTTTTGGCCACATTACAAATAAAGTGCTTGACGTGTGGCGTTCTTAGTTCCTGTCGAACAAAAGTGTGAAGGCGCAAGATCTCCACAGCCGGGGCGTCGGTAAACTTAATGCGTGAAACCCAGATTCGTGGTCAAAGGGGAAGGATATCAGCTGTCGCTGATGAATCCTGATCAAACCCGAGGAAAGCGTTCCTGTCCCCCAAACCAGACACCTGCAATCAATCGGTGTGGCGATTATATACATCTAAACTTGGATTCCAAGCTTGTTCCCGGTGGTTGAAACGGTCACTGAGATTGATCATAGCTCCCACTCCCGTGCGCTGCTAACAGAGCCGTACCGTGCGTGGATCGAATGAACAGCTCTGTTGGCTCTGTCTCCGCGCCGAGACAAAGAGAAAAACCTTCCCATTATAGGCGTGGTCAGGGAGTGGAGGAAGTGCAGCGTAAACATGCTTGTCTCGAGTTGCTTGGTCTAGAATATAACCACGCCAGCCATCCATGCCAGCTGCAATTCATCGATGGCTACTGAGTATTCTAGCGGCGCTGTGAGTCTTCCGCCCATTCCTGTACTCAAGGCTTCCTAGGCTTACACGTTATACGAACTTTCCAGGCACTTTGGCTTACTTGCACGAGCCATAGACGTTGAAGGCAAGATTGTATTCAATGACATATGTTCTGGTAAGCCGCTTCATACATTAAGAGTCTGATCACGTCTCTAACACAGCTACAGACTTCAAGAAATTGAAAGCTGCGACTGTCGTCCTCGACAATGGCCTCTACTCGGCAAGCGTATGGAAGTCTGGGCGATTCGTTTTGTGAGCACCATATATTAAAATCCGT